CTAGCTTGGATAGGAAACCTAGGATGGATAGCAAACTTAGGAGGGAAGAAACGGGAAGAACTAGGGAAAATATCGGAGAGAGAGACTAGCAAACAGCCTAGGGAAAAGCCGGACGAAAAAAGTGCCGGAAGAAGCTATTGAAAGCCTAGGCATAGACTCGGATACGGACTACGGGGGGAAGCTGGGAGGAATCTCTAAGGTCGAAAGCGAAAGTGAAAGCTAGAACAAACAGACTCGGACGCGGACTGTGGGGAGAGGCCAGGAGAAATGAGGGAGGAATATCGTTGGAGGAAAGCTTGGGGAAACATACCGTGTAGAGAAAAATGTTAGGGAAATTGAAGCCGCGGGGGGCAGGCCAAGGCGGAAACGAAAGCCACTTTGGATTCTCAAGTTAGCCCGGGAATAGGGGGCGAAAAGTTAAAACCAGAAGCTGAGACGTATGCCAGATTGGGATCCGTCTGATTAGCCCGGGGAGCAAAGGACGGGAAGCCAGATCGTGGGGCGGAGACGTACGCTGGGTTGAATTCGCCAGGCTAGCCCGGGGAACTTAGATTGAATCCTAGTGGCGGAGACGCAAGCTACGCTGTGTTACTCGCGGAAGCCGCCGCGTGCAGAGAGAGCACGGGGCGTGAATAGATAGGGAATGCTGGCGTAGGCCGTGGTTCAGACGCGAAAGGGTTAAGCGTGGAGACCGCGGACCGCGCAAAGCCGGGAAGCCGCGCAGAGAGGCGCGCGGGCTGAAGCGGCGCAGAGCCGGGAACCCGCCGGCGGGGCGAGGTGCCGGAAAGCCGCAGGGATAAGAGAAACAGAAGTTTGGAAGTGAAGTAAAAGAGAAATGGGAATGCTGGAAGATAGAAGTGAAATGGGAGAGGTAGGAATGCCCGGAGATAGAGAAATAGAGAAAAATAAGGCCTCCCCTCAACATGCCAATTAGAAGGCTTGGATTCGGTCTGCCTGATTTAAGGCGGTAAGCGCCAGCAAAGCTCGACCAGAGTATGAGCTGCAGGTCACCGAAGATAGGCACGAACCAACACTAATAAGTCTCCCCCACAATAAGGCAATGAGAAGGCTTGGATTCGGTTTGCCTGATAGGTTTTGTAAGCCCCTGCGGGCAGAGCAGAGCATGCGCTGCAGGGCACCGAACACAGGCATGCATCAGCGCCTAAAAACCTCCTCACAATGGCGAAGAGAGGACCCGGATTCGGTTTTCCTGATTGATAGGACTTGTAAGAGCCTGTGGCAACTCTAGCAAGTAGAGCAGAGTGTGTTCCGCGGGACACCGAAGACAGGCGCGTATCAACGCTAAAAAATAAAAAGAAAGGGGGATCTGTGGGGAGCAATCCGGACTGGACTAAGTTACTCGAATTAGGACTTATTCTATGCATCTGCTCTCCCACAATATGGCGCTGGGAGAGAAGTAAACAGCTTCCGCACAGCTGCCTCCAGTTCAACCAATTAACTGTAGGACTTGCTCTTGATTGGAGAGCAGCGTACTCAGCCGAGTTGGGATTGGCGGAGGAGGACTGTAAAGGAGGAGAGAGACGGCATGCACCAGGAACATCTATGGGGAACATCTAGCTGAAGGAACACCCGTGCAGCCCCCGAGAGAACCGGCCGGCGGTGTGCCGCTCCCCTGCGGAAGTGGGGAATGTGGCCAGGGGGAACTGCCCTTCCACGGAGGTGGAAGGGATAGTAGCCAACCCGGGAAGAACCAGCAGCAAACCCGGGGAGGGCCGAGCAGACGAAAAAACAGCGCAGGGTCCTGTGTCGTTCCTCCACGAAGAGGGGGAGCGACAGTTCCAAAGTGCTGGGGCACAGGACTTCATGTGCATTTTGGAGAGGGATGTAATTCTACCCATAGCAGTTAGCTTTTGCAAAAACATTTGAATATTCAGACATTCACCTGTGGATTTTGCTTTTAGTTATCTCCATGAATCTAGCTAGTTGTTTTTAGGATAGTTCTGCTAATAATTCTCTATATTCTTTCTACTTTTGACTTCTAAGGATGTGCATTAAAAGGCTCTAGGCTAGTACCTAGTCTACAAATTACCCAGCTTGAGGTCTTCAAAAGCAAAATATTGACTTAAATCTCCCAAAAATGCAGGGAAGTCAGAAAAACTGCTGAGGTAGTGTCTGCCATGGGTTCCAGGAGCCCACTCTGCTCCTTGGTTCTACCTCTCTGGGAATGTCTCTTTATGGGACCTCATTACACACACCATCACTAGCAGAGCAGCCAAGGTTCCAGTTCCTCCTTGCAGATCACCATGAAATATTGATATGAACATCATGCATAATTGCCTGGCAAAATGATCATTATGTTTGCTAAATTCTAGGTTTGACAGGAGGTAGCAGATATCTCAATGAGTTAAGGAAGAAAAAAATCTCCAAATTGAGGAAATTATATTCACATCAATTTTTTTTGTAATTGTTGAATAGGTATCCATTATTGGTTTGCAGAGGAAGAACATAATGGTTCAAGTCGAGAACACCATTGTTTTCTGCATCAAGCTGGAAAAATACACAACAGTAGGTCTTGCTGTGAAGCTAGAGAGTATGTGGCAGTCCAGGCACAAGGCAGACATGTGGAAACTGACATTGCAGCCCACCTGACTGTCTGCCCCCAAGTCTTCACCCCAGCACCAAGGCAAGCCATTGGATCCAGCAGATCTTACAGCAAGGCCTTGGTCTCACCCTTATGCCCTGCCTCCTCCTGGTGGCTCTGGTGTCTCTCCAAGGGGTGAGACACGGCACATACACATCTGAAGGCTGCCCTCCTTCCTTCCACAGTTCCCCCAGAAGCAGAGCATGGCTCTCACCCTTTCCACGTTGGTGGAACCCAAACCTTCACTCTTGGCTTGGTCCCAAGAGAGCTCTTGATCTGCCACGACCCCCCTAACACCACAAGTGAAGAGAAATGGCTTCTTTTTTTTTAAAGGCAATGTTTTTTATTTATTTATTTATTTATTTATTTATTTATTTATTTATTTATTTTTGCAGGCAGAGTGGACAGTGAGAGAGAGACAGAGAGAAAGGTCTTCCTTTGCTGTTGGTTCACCCTCCAATGGCTGCTGCGGCCGGCGTACCGCGCTGATCCGATGGCAGGAGCCAGGTACTTATCCTGGTCTCCCATGGGGTGCAGGGCCCAAGCACTTGGGCCACCCTCCACTGCACTCCTGGGCCACAGCAGAGAGCTGGCCTGGAAGAGGGGCAACCGGGACAGAATCCGGCGCCCCGACCGGGACTAGAACCTGGTGTGCTGGCACCACAAGGTGGAGGATTAGCCTAGTGAGCTGCGGCGCCAGCTCAGAAATGGCTTCTACTCTCCACCTTCCAACCCTCTATCCACCATCACTGGCTGTGCATGGTCCTCACCAGACAGGATGTCACTCTCAGCTTCTCTGGGGACTCTTACCTGCCCCATTGCAGGCTCCAGTGACTCCCTCTAATCCTGTGCACTCCTACCTAAGCTCTAAAATACCTGACAGCTCCTCCTTGATAAGGGATGACTGAGGATCATGTTTCTGATCAAGGGCTAACCAGCTGTGAAATGCAAACCCTGGACCAGAAAACATGAAAAAGGGCTAAGCAGCCTGACAGACCTGTTAGCCTTCTGGGTGGGAGGAGGCCAGCAGACATGGACACTTGCTCCTTGGCAAGTGTGTTCAGGCTTCCACATGGCAGGTAAGGTTCACCCATGTTGTCACCCCATTTGTTAGGTGTGTTGACTGAGGCCTCGAGCAGTGCTCAAACAAGATTCTCAATAGGTGTAAAAGGACCACAGTATCTGGTAGGCCCACATCTCCACCCTGCCTGAGCTGGAAAAGGACCAGGCCATTAGGAGGTTATGCTGAAATGCTTGTTTGCCACCGAGTGGCTGCTGCCCTCCATCATGGCAGTTGGCACATCACAGCGGAGGCTTCCTCTCCTTGTTCTGTAAGTCAGCTTTTGCGAGGGGCTGGGTCAGAGCCACGCTCCTGCAGGACTGCATTGTTCATCTGGCTCCTGCCACAGGAGGAAAGGTTGGCATGTTCTGCTCCACCAGGGCAATGGGCTGGGCTGGGCTGGGCTGCACAAGTGAGCTTCTGATGTCTTAGCACTGCAGCAGAAAAAAGCACTATGGCCCTGCCTGGGGCTGGAGGAGTAGGGCAACCTGAACAGGCAGGGGAATTAAGGTACATGATACCAAGACAGGTAGTTAAATGAATATGTTGTTTTGAAAAAAATATCACAACATATTGTAGTAGCTTCAGGTGCTGGGGTTCTTCAGATGGAGAACCTAGGGCTCAGAGGGAGAAAGCCAGGGGTACTCTGAGATGTTGGGGTGCAAGCACTCCCCCTGCTGGGATGGAATGGAACTCCCATCCATCTATGGTCTGCTGTTCAATATTCAGTTCTGCACAAAGTATCTGATGGGCCAAGCTTTGCCTCAGATCATAGTTCAGAGCTTCAATTTGTGTGTGTGTGTGTGTGTGTGTGTCTGAGACCAGCAAGCAACCTCATCAACCTCAGTGCCCCTCAGGAGAGGACAGGAACTCTGTGTTCTCTGCAGCAGCCTTGGCTTCAGTTGTAGGAGGAATCCAGCTCTGGCCCTAGCTCAGAAAGCCTGGCTACTCTTAGATGCCGGGACTACCTCCCAGCCAATGCCTGGGATCAGCTTTGTGCTGCCCCCTCTCCAAAGTGTGTATGAGAGAAAGGAACTTGTCTCTGAATTTCCCTCCTGACTTCTGGAAGCGGAGCTGAGACTGAGGCCTGGGCAGCCAGATTCCCAGGTCAGCAATTGGTTGGAGGGTGGGGTTGAGGGCAAGACACCTAGACGCAGTGCCAAAGAGGCTGTGACTGCTAGAGGGAACCCTCCCAAGCTTTGGAGTTACACACACTCAGGGTTACATTTTGGTTCTACTGTGCACTATGCTATGTGTTTCTGGCTAAGATGCTTAGCCCCTCTGGGCCTCAAAACAAGGCCAAGGGGAGTGACTTCTTCAAAGAAAACAGAGTGGGGAAACATTTAAAACACCTAATATTGTGCCAGGCATACAGTAGGCGCCTGGTGTGAGCAGTTTCTTCACCTCCCTAGGTTCACAGTCCACAAGTAAGGGTGGGTCAGCCCTAGCAGAGGGCTGGGGAGTTGGAGTCTGCAGGAGAGGTACATAGGGGAGCTGGGTTCCCCTGGAGAGGGAGGCAAGAGGAGAAAAGGTCAGAGTGGGGAAGCCACCATGGGGTGTGCCCAGGATGACTCTTCTCATGTATTCTGGAAGATTCCTCCAGCCCCCCAGACCTGCCTCTCTGCCTCACCACCTGGGAAGGGGGCACTCTCCATCCATGCCCCGTGGGGGCAGCCCCTAGGGTTGTAGAATGGGAGAAGGGAGGGGCTCTGCCAGAAACCCCACCCCTCACCTCTCGGCCCAAGCCCTCAGCTCTCTTTCCACTGTGCCCTTTCCTTCCATGTGGCTCTGGGCAACGGCTGCCAGGAGAAGACTCCAGATTGTTTATGGGCCATCTCTTCTGCAACCTGACAATAAGATGGGGTGATCATCTGTGGTGCAGCTTGCTGCATTTGGTTGCAGGTCCTGCGTCCAGGGACGGTCACAGCCCAAGCCTCCCTAATGACCTGGAGAGTAGAGGAAAGGATGCTATTACTCTGTTTATTGAGGATTAAAATAAATCTGGTCAGAGCAGAAGCCATCCGCTATTTGGCTCTTCCCAAAAGCAATTACCTGTAATTTTGCCGCTTCAGGAAAGAGAGGCGCTAGTGTTTGGGGACCAAAACCATTACACTCCACTCGAGATGGCCCAGAGGAGATTAATCATCCTGGCGTTCTCAGTGCTGCATCAAGATCGCTTCCTTTTGATTTGGGTTCAATTTGTTGCCTCCACTGTCCCTTCCAGGTGTGGGAAGAAGAGGCTGTGTGTGCGCTGGTGGAGACAGGAGGGTTAACTGGAAAATTCTGCAAATCACTTGCAGGGGTAGGGAAGCTATTTCCTGCCCAGGGCTGTTTGGATATTTACAACATCACTAACGGGCCATACAAAAGCATCAACCTAAAAATTAGCCTCTACAGATTTATTGGATTTAGAGTTCCACCTATGGTTTCCCTGGCAAGGCCAGACCAGATGGTTTCACGGGCTGTCTACAGCCCACGGGCAGGGTGTTCCCAACCCTGAAAGCGAAGGCAGCCCACGGGCCTGTGAATTCAAATGGCTTCCACTTGTCCAACTGAGGTGTGTTTTGGCACTGAAGTCTTATTGTTGGTTTTGGTTTTGTGTCTCTGTGTGCATTTAAATGAAACATTCTGGGAAACAGCAGCTGCTCTCACGCCCTGTCCTGGCCCAGTGGTGCTTTGGGATCCAATGGTGTGTTGCAAGTCAGTTTTTACTACAGATGGTATTAAAATATGGAGGTTCGCGGATGGTTTGCTTAAAAGCAATTTTGGATGGAATGAACTTTATTCTAATTACACTCCACACCCATTCACCTGTGGTGCACTGAATTTATTTTTTTCTTTTTTTTTATTTTATTTAATGAACATAAATTTCCAAAGTACAGCTTATGGATTACAATAGCTACCCCCCCCCATAACTTCCCTCCCACCCACAACACTCCCCTCTCCCACTCCCTCTCCCCTTCCATGCACATCAAGATTAATTTTCAATTATCTTTGTATACAGAAGATCAATTTAGCATATATTAAGTAAAGATTTCAATAGTTTTCACCCACACAGAAACACAAAGTGTAAAATACTATTTGAGTACTAGTTATAGCATTAATTAAACACCTAAGAGTAATTGTGTATTAATTACAGAGTTCAACCAATAGTTTTAAGTAGAACATAAAAAATACTAAAAGGGTAAAGTATTAAGTGTCGCTCCCCCTCTTCGTGGAGGAGCAACACTGCACCCTGCCTAGGCTTCATATCCGAGTCACGGCACCATTATGTCGCTCCCCCTCTTCGTGGAGGAACGACACAGGACCCTGCGCTGTTCTTTTGTCTGCTCGGCCCTCCCCGGGTTTGCTGCTGGTTCTTCCCGGGTTGGCTACTATCCCTTCCACCTCCGTGGAAGGGCAGTTCCCCCTGGCCACATTCCCCACTTCCGCAGGGGAGCGGCACACCGCCGGCCGGCTCTCTCGGGGGCTGCACAGGTGTTCCCTTAGATGTTCCCCTTAGATGTTCCTGGTGCATGCCGTCTCTCTCCTCCTTTATAGTCCTCCTCCGCCAATCCCAACTCGGCTGCCCACACGCCGAGTACGCTGCTCTCCAATCAGGAGCAAGTCCTACAGTTTATTAGTTGAACTGGAGGCAGCTGTGCGGAAGCTGTTTACTTCTCTCCCAGCGCCATATTGTGGGAGAGCAGATGCATAGAATAAGTCTTAATTCCAGTAACTCAGTCCAGTCCGGATTGCTCCCCACAATTAAGTTCTTTTTTTTTTCCTTTTTTTTGTTTGTTATATAGTTTTTTATTTAATAAATGTGAATTTACAAAGTGCAACTTTTGTATTGTTGTGGCTTCCCCCCCAACCTCCCTCCCTCCCATGGCCCTCCCCTCTCCCACTCCCTCTCCCATCCCGCCCTTCATCGAGTTTCATTTTCAATTACCTTCATATACTGAAGATCAACTTAGTATATACTAAGCAAGGATTTCAACAGGCTGTACTCACACAACCACACAAGGTATAGGGTATTGTTCAACTAGTAGTGTTGTTTTTAAGTTTCATAGTAAAACACATTAAGGACAGAGATCCTACGTGGGGAGCATGTACCCAGTGACTCCCATTATTTATGACGTCAGCAATCACCCAAGACTCTTGCTATGAGCTGTCTAGGTTATGGAAGCCCCTTGAGTTCACCGACTCTGAACTTGTTTAGTCAAGGCCATATCACAGTGGAGGTTCCTTCCTCCCTTCAGAGAAAGGCGCCTCTCTCCTTGATGGCCTGTTCCTTCTGCTGGGGTCTTGTTCACCAGGATCTTTCATTTAGATTGTTTTTTGCCACCCTGTCATGGCTTTCCATGCCTGTGAGACTTTCATGGACCTTTTAGCCAGATCTGAATGTCCCAAGGGTTGATTCTGAGGCAGGAGTGCTGCCATTCTATGAGTCTGCTGTGTGTTCTGTTTCCCCCGCAGGATCATTCTCTCCCTTTTAATTCTATCCTTCATTATTTGCTTACACTGGTCTTATTTGTGAAATCTCTTCGACACTTACCCTATCTTTTGGATCTGTTGTGTATTTATACTTATCACTTTACCAAGTGCGCTGGCCAAGTGCGCTGGCATTGGTACCTGCCTCCTTGGTAAGATTGAGTTGAAATCCCCTGGCACATTTCTAGGAGGTAAGTCCAAGTGAGCATGTGCCAACCTATCTATCTCCTCCCTCCCTTATTCCCACTCCTATGTTTAACAGAGATCACTTTTCTGTTAATTTTTTTTTTTTTTTTGGACAGGCAGAGTAGACAGTGAGAGAGAGAGACAGAGAGAAAGGTCTTCCTTTGCTGTTGGTTCACCCTCCAATGGCCACTGCAGCCGGCGCGCTGCGGCCGGCGCACCACGCTGATCCTATGGCAGGAGCCAGGTACTTATCCTGATCTCCCATGGGGTGCAGAGCCCAAGTACCTGGGCCATCCTCCACTGCACTCCCTGGCCACAGCAGAGAGCTGGCCTGGAAGAGGGGCAACCAGGACAGAATCCGGCGCCCTGACCGGGACTAGAACCCGGTGTGCCGGCGCCGCAAGGCAGAGGATTAGCCTAATGAGCCGCGGCACCGGCCACTTTTCTGTTAATTTTAAATGCCTAAGAATGATTGTGCATTGATTACAGAGTCTTATGTAGAACAAACAGAGTAACAACAGCAATAACAACTAAAATACTAAAAGGAATAAAATAATAAGTTGTTCCTCAACAGTCTAGACAAGGGCTGATCATGTCATTGTCTCTATAGTGTCCATTTCACTTCAATGGGTATCATTTTAGATGCTCGTTTAGTTGCCATTGATCAGGGAGAACATATGATATTTGTCCCTTTGGGACTGGCTTAATTCACTCAGCATGATGTGTTCCAGATTCCTCCATTTTGTTGTAAATGCCCGGATTTCATTGCTTTTTACTGCCGTATAGTGTTCCATAGAGTACATATCCCATAGTTTCTTTATCCAGTCATCCGTTGATGGACATTTAGGTTGATTCCATGTCTTAGCTATTGTGAATTGAGCTGCAACAAATATTGAGCTGCAAATGGCTCTTTTTTTCTCCCCTTTAATTCCATTTGGGTAAATTCCAAGGAGTGGGATGGCTAGGTCCTGTGGTAGTGCTATATTCAGATTTCTGAGGACTCTCCAAACTGTCTTCCATAGTGGCTTTACCAGTTTGCATTCCCCCAACAGTGGATTAGTGTCCCTTTTTCCCCACATCCTCGCCAGCATCTGTTGTTGGTTGATTTCTGTATGTAAGCCAATCTAACCAGAGTGAGGTGAAACCTCATTGTGGTTTTGATCTGCATTTTCCTGATGGCTAGGAATCCTGAGCATTTTTTCATGTGTCTGTTGGCCATTTGGATTTCCTCTTTTGAAAAATGTCTGTTAAGGTCCTTGGCCCATTTTTTATTGGGTTGTTTGTTTTGATTCTGTGGTGTTTTTTGATCATTTTATAGATTCTAGTTGTTAATCCTTTATCTGTTGTGTAGTTGCGAATAACGTCTCCCATTCTGTTGGTTGCCTCTTCACTTTGCTGACTGTTTCCTTTGCTGTAAAGAAACTCTTTTGGCCGGCGCCGCAGCTCACTAGGCTAATCCTCAGCCTTGCGGCGCCGGCACACCAGGTTCTAGTCCCGGTTGGGGAGCCGGATTCTGTCCTGGTTGCCCCTCTTCCAGGCCAGCTCTCTGCTGTGGCCAGGGAGTGCAGTGGAGGATGGCCCAGGTACTTGGGCCCTGCACCCCATGGGAGACCAGGATAAGTACCTGGCTCCTGCCATCAGATCAGCGTGGTGCGCCGGTCGCAGCACGCCGGCTGCAGTGGCCATTGGAGGGTGAACCAACAGCAAAGGAAGACCTTTCTCTCTGTCTCTCTCTCTCACTGTCCACTCTGCCTGTTTAAAAAAAAAAAAAAAACTCTTCGATTTGAGGTAATCCCATTTGTTTATTTTATCTTTGATTACCCGTGCCTCTGGGGTCTTCTCCAGGAATTCTTCGCCTGTTCCAATATCTTGAAGGGTTTCCCCTATGCTCTCAATTAGTTTCATGGTGTCGTGGCACATCTCTAGTTCTTTGATCCATGTTGAGTGTATTTTTGTATAAGGTGCAAGGTAGGGGTCTTACTTCATACTTCGACATGTGGACATCCAGTTTTCCCAGCACCATTTGTTGAAGAGGCTGTCCTTGTTCCAGGGGTTGGTTTTAGGTCCTTTGTGGAATATGAGTTGGTTATAGATGTTTGGATTGATCTCTGGTGTTTCTATTCTGTTCCATTGGTCTATCCATCTGTTTTTGTACCAGTACCAGGCTGTTTTGATTATAACTGCCCTCCAGTATGTCTTGAAGTCTGGAATTGTGATGCCTCCGGCCTTGTTTTTATTGTAAAGGATTGCTTTAGCTATTCTCGGTCTCCTGTTTCTCCATATGAATTTCAGCATAGTTTTTTCTAGGTCTTTGAAGAATGACTTTGGTATTTTGATTGGTATTGCATTGAACTTGTAAATTGCTTTTGGGAGAAGGGACATTTTGATAATATTGATTCTTCCAATCCATGAGCATGGCAGGTTTTTCCATTTTTTTGTGTTGTCTTCTATTTCTTTCTTTAGTGTTTTGTAATTTTCATCATAGAGGTCTTTGACATCCTTGGTTAAATTTATTCCAAGGTACTTTATTGTTTTTGTGGCTATCGTGAATGGGATTGATCTTAGAAGTTCTTCCTCGGCCCTGGCATTATCTGTGTATACAAAGGCTGTTGATTTCTGAGCGTTGATTTTATATCCTGCTACTTTACCAAACTCTTCTATGAGTTCCAATAGTCTCTTATAGGAGTTTATCGGGTCCCTTATATATAGTATCATGTCATCTGCAAATAGGGATAGTTTAACTTCCTCCTTTCCCATTTGTATCCCTTTAATTTCTTTTTCTTGCCAGATGGCCCTGGCTAACACTTCTAGGACTATATTGAATAGCAGTGGTGAGAGTGGGCATCCCTGTCTGGTGGTGCACTGAATTTAATGCACAGAACTGGCTGGCAATGGGGCCACGGCCTGGAAATACCACAGGACCTGCAGTGGGAGCAACAGGTGTGCTGTGCTGTGCAGTTACTCGCATGCTTACTCTGCTGGGGACTGGATGGCTCTGCATGGATATCTCGCTTCCTTTGGTCCTCATCTCACCCCATCAGAGGCTGTTCTATGCAAATCTGAGCATGGCTATACACAGCATTACCATATGCACACCATTCTGATAAACAAATCAGCCCCACCCTGAACTGCTATGGAGCCATATTCCCAGTTCTTAGGCGGAGAGACCAAGGTTCTGGAAGCCCCTTTGAGAGGGTTATACTCTCCCAGTCATCTCTGCAGAAAGCAGGTAAGTGACAGGAGCAGTTGGAGAGGCTGTAACACCTAATAGTGTTCAGACCGCTATGATCCTTGATGCTGGATGTGCACAGTTGTCCCATCTGCACAGAGATCATTTAGAGGCAGTGGAGCCGAAACACCTGCTTGCCCTTGCTCACCGGCAAGACAGATCTGACTCTGTATGCACGCATCAAAGGGCACAAACGAAAAGTGGCTTCTCTGCAGCACCTGGGAAGGAGTCTGGCAAAGGACAAAACCAGATACATGCAAAATTTAAGCTTCCCATTTTCTTGCTTGTGATTGTTTTTCCTCGGTCTCTTACTGTGGCAGGAGGATGTTTAAGAGCAGCCCAGGCCTCTATCCACTAGATCCCAGTAGGACTGGTAGTTGTGACAATCAAAACTGTCCCAAACACACTAAGAGGAGTATAGTTCCCCCTTTTTTTGCCCCCTAGCCATTCAATCCCCACTCTCCTTTTTCAGTCCTGGCAACTAACCTGTACCAATTTCCTTGTGTATTTTCTTCTTCAAAAATAGTAGGTTGGGGCCAGTGTTGTGGTGCAGTGGGGTTAAGCCTCTACTAGTGATGCTGGCATCCCATATCAGAGTTTCAGTTCCAGTCCCGGCTACTTGACTTCCTATCCACTTCCCTGCTAATGGCCTGAGAAAGATGCAGAGGATGGCCCAAGTGCTTGGGCCCCTGCCACCCATGTATATGACCAGAATGAAGTTCCTGGTTCCTGGCTTCAGCCTGGCTCAGTTCTGGCTGTTGCAGCTACTTGGGGGAATGAACCAGAGGATAGGACATTCTCATTCTCTCTATCTCTCTCACTGCCTTTCAAGTAAAATAAATAAATCTTTTAAAAAATAGTAAGTTGACCTCTCTGGGCTTGGACCTAGGTGGCGGCGCTATGGCGAAACGCACCAAGAAGGTCGGGATCGTGGGTAAATATGGGACCCGCTATGGCGCCTCCCTCCGGAAGATGGTGAAGAAGATTGAGATCAGCCAGCATGCCAAGTACACTTGCTCCTTTTGCGGCAAAACCAAGATGAAGAGATGAGCCGTGGGGATCTGGCACTGTGGCTCCTGCATGAAAACAGTGGCTGGTGGTGCCTGGACATACAACACCACTTCTGCCGTCACAGTGAAGTCTGCGATCAGAAGACTGAAAGAATTGAAAGACCAGTAGAGGTGCCATATGAGACATCAGCAGCCTATAATAAATGGGTTAATTTATATAACAAAAAAAATAGTAAGTTGAATGGTGCCCTCCACAGAGTTATGTCACATCCAGAGTCCTGCAACTTGTATTACTTTATTTGGGAAAAATGTCTTTGCAGACACAATGAAGCTAAAGATCCTGAAATAACAGACCATCTTGGATGACACTGGTGGACTCTAAATCCAATGACAAGTGTCTTCATGACAGAGAGAAGAGGAAAAGACCCAGGTGCACAGTGAAGAAAGCAACACCACTGGACTGGAGTGAGGTGGCCACAAACCACAGAGGCTAAATGATGCCTACAGTTTGCAGAAGCTGACAAGGCAAGGAAAGACTCTCTCCTAGAGTCTGCAGCAGGGTACTGCCCAGACAACACCTTGATTTCCGAGTCTCAAACTCCAGAACCATGAGAGAAGAACTTTCTGTTATGTTAAGCCATCCAGTTTGTGATGATTAATTATAGCTGCTCTCGGAAACTAACACACTCTATGAATAGATGTTACATATATTTTCTCTACAGACACATAATAATATAGTTTATTCTGTACCTTGCTCTTTTAACCTAAATGCTTACTCTAGAATCCTTTTCATACTGATGACATGTCACTTATCTATCACTACATAAAAATGCACCCAAACACTTGATGACTTACACGGATGACAATCATTTATGAGCTCACGGTTCTGCAAAGTGGGTGGGGCTCAGCAGGGCTGGCTCATCTCTGTTCCCCAGGGCACCTGCTGAACCTACAATGTCTGAATCTGCTTTTTCATTGACCTGTCTGGCTCCTTAGGCTAGGACTGTTGTGGGCTGTTGACATCTCTTGTTGTCTGTCTGGCTCCTCCATGTGGAAGTCTGGGCTTCCTCACAGCATAGTGGCTGGGCTGCAAGAAGTGTTTCCAGAGAGGAAGTCCCCAGTTGCAAGCTCTTGTTAAGCCTCTGCTTGCATCATTCTTTCAGTGCTCACACTGTGAGACTGGACTGCATCGGGGAGTAAGTTTTGGGAGGCCTGGTTTATTTGGGGTAGTCAAAGTGAAAGTCCACCATAAGCATATTCAGAACTGCATCTCTCCTTCTTTTCTTCCCTAAATTCACTGTAAGCACATAAGCAAGACAAGATTGCTCGTTCATCAATGGATGTTCATATTACTTTCAAAATTCTATTGTTAGAAACAATTCTGCAAAAATATTTATACAGATGTCATGTTGTACTTCTGTGAGAATAGCCATGAGCTGAAATCTACCAGTGGAGATGCTATACAGAACAGCAATGTGCTTATGTGATGTTGGTGGACACTGCCTGACTAATTTGGGGTGGTACCAAATTACCTTTCTATCATGTCTAGTATTTTTGCACTAAAATAAACATCTTTTAGTTCCTTCCAGATTTCCTAGCACCCTAGGCATCCAGGCATCAAACACTTTTATCTTGTTGATGTGATAGGTTGAAAATGAGATTCTTTTTTTAAAGAACTTTTTAAAAAATTATTTTAATCTACTTGAGAGACAGAGAAAAAGACAGGTTTTCTGTTTGCTGGTTCACTTTCCAAATGCTGGCAACAGCTGGTGCTAGGGCAGGACAAAGCCAGGAGCTGGGATCTCAATCTGGGTCTCCCACATGGATGGCAGGGACCCAGGTACTTGAGCCATCACCTGCTGCCTCCCAGGGTACCTAACATCAGTAAGTTAGAAAACGAAGCTGAGCTGAGACCCAAGCCTAGGCACTCTGATATGGGATGCAAGCATCCCAAGAGGCACCTGAACTGCTGGGCCAAACACTCACCCTAGGATTCCTTTTTTATTTTAATTGTACTTCTCTTATGAGTAAGATCAATCATATTTGCTTATTTTTAAGAATCATCTATATTTTCTATGAACTGTTATTATTTCTTTATTGATTTTTTAAAAAGATTTATTTATTTATTTGAAAATCAGAGTTACAGAGAGAGGGAAAGAAAAAGAGAGAGAGAAAGAATGAGAATCTTCCATCCACTGGTTTACTCCCTAGATGGTTGCAACAGCCAGGGGTAGGCCAGGCCAGAGCCAGGAGCCAGGAGCTTCATCTGAGTCTCCTATGTGGGTAGCAGAGATCCAAGTACTTGGGCCATCTCCAGCTGCTTTTCTCAGGCTATTAGTAGGGAGCTGGATAGGAAGTGGAGCAGCTGGGACGTGGACTGGTGTTCATGT